AATGTAATGACATTAGGGCAACCGATATATGATACCTGTCAATGAGTACTCAGCTCCCATGTAATTTTTAATCATTGTCCGTCTGAAAGTTTTATAATTGAAGGCACCTGATGAATATAAGCTAAAAGCTTGTTAGTTGAGAGATGGGAAATTTTGAATATTTGGCAGTAGCATCTTAATTACTGGCACTAAATTATCATATATTACCAATATTGGCCATTGTAATTAGAATTTACCCATTCAATAATTGTCCAGAAATGTCTGGTAAATGTAACAGTGTAGCACACGTCTCCATTCTTCGGCCACCTTATTTGTTTTCTCCAATGTACTCGTGGCCCGCAGGATTGAATGAGAGTATGGCAGTGCCCCTTTATTCAGCTGATGCCTGAATGTGACTTGGCGATGTTCTTGGTAACGCAATTCATGCCAGTAAATGATTTGGTCCTTTGCTTTGAACTGGTTTTGCCTTCGACTAAGAATATGATCTCTGTAGTATAAAAATGAGATCACTGGATGCTCAATCATCTCTGTGATTTCAGATTTAACTTTTTGACGGTTACCAAACTAAAGATGTTTTAAGATGTGGTCTCTGAGAGCAAGGCACTGGAAAAAAACTTAGAACATGATGAGTTTTATAGTATGGATGGTAGATATCTGGGTACCAATTTCCTTATCAGTCATAGATAAGGGTGAGCAGAATGTAATCAAAGACATGATGCTTAGTTACGATTATCGAAATAATGTTCTGTGGAAGGCTCTTAGAGTTTCTCTATTAGTATTGGAAAATATTCTCCAGAGCTAATAACGGACCATTTCGACAAATTAATTGCTTCGTATCTTTCACTTCTCAACATCGTGTAAATTTCTATATATTACTGTGTAACCATATTGTCAGCTTCAGGCGTTTTCTTTTCTCAAAACTGTGATCTTCAGCAGCTTATCTTCAAGCAGAAAGGTTTCTTCAGAACAAAATTAAAATTGAAACGATTAGGGCTCAGTAGCTGAGCAATTTTTTGACACTGGCGACAACATGATATCAATTCTATGATTTGAAAGTTGAGCAGGATCATTTGACGCTGGACGCATCATATTTCCATCTATAAGTGTCGTTTCACCCTCATCCATTATATACGAACCAAAAACACTTAATTTTACAGCAAACGGCAGAGTTATTAGTACAAAGACAAGTATTTGAATTGCAGTGAAACAGCTGTTGCTTCCTAAAAAGATGTTCTTTGACGAAATTATAAGAAAGGCTGATCCAAATTAGAGCAGGTGTTACTGTTAAAGATCATTTTTATCGCGGTAATTAAAGATCTTTAGAGTAAAAGTGAAAATTCTAGTGATTGTGATTATTTTAACATCTTTTCTGGCGAACGTACATAAAGTCTTTTGTCTTTAGCCATTCGTGCTCACAGCTGTTCCTTCTTTATTTTCTTTTGCTCTATTAGACTCCGTTGTTCGATGAATATGGGGGGGGGGTGTCACGTCCGTCTATGTCCGCTTGTCTCATAGAATCCAAAAAGGACAGGACATAGGCGGACATAGGCGGACATAGACGGACATAGGCGGACATAGACGGACATAAACGGACATAAACGGACATTAGCGGACATTAATGGACACCTAAATTGCTAAATAAAATGTTCAATTTTTGCTGTTATATGGAGAGATCATGTTTTTTGTCCGGTACCCTATATTTTCAAAACGGACAAAAAATAGAGCGGACAAAAACGGACAAAAATGGAAATAAAATTTAGATGCTTCCTCCTCCTACTCTTCCTCCTCCTCCTCCTGGGTCTTCCTGATCTTCCTCAGTCCTCTTCCTCCTCCCCTCCTCAGTCCTCCTCCTACTCCTCCTCCTCGTCCTCAGTCCTCCTCATCAGTCCTCAACAGTCCTCCTCCTCCCCAATCCTCCTCCTCCTGAGTCCTCCTCCTGGGTCCTCCTCCTGGGTCCTCCTCCTCCTCTTCATCCTCCTCCTCAGTCCTCCTCATCAGTCCTCAACAGTCCTCCTCCTCCCCAGTCCTCCTCCCCCCTCCTCCTCCTCCTATTCAGTCCTCCTCCTCCTCAGTCCTCCTCCTTCTCAGTCTTCCTCAGTCCTTCTCAGTCCTCCTCCTCCTCCTCCTCTTCCCTCTCAGTCATCCTCCTCAGCCATCCTCCTCAGTCCTCCTCAGTCCTCCTCAGTCCTCCTCCTCAGTCCTCCTCCTCCTGGGTCCTCCTCCTCCTCTTCATCCTCCTTCTCTTCCTCCTCGGTCCTCAGTCCTCCTCCTCAGTCCTCCTTCTCATCAGTCCTCCTCCTCCTCAGTCCTCTCCCAGTCCCCCTCCTTCTCCTCCTCGTATTCATTCCTCCTCCTCCTCCTCCTCCTCAGTTCTCCTCAGTCCTCCTTCTCATTTCTCCTAAGTCCTCCTCCTAAGTCCTCCTCCTCCTCTTCCTCCTGAGTCCTCCTCCTGAGTCCTCCTCCTCCTCCCTCTCAGTCATCCTCCTCAGTCATCCTCCTCAGCCATCCTCCTCAGCCATCCTCCTCAGCCATCCTCCTCAGTACTCCTCAGTCCTCCTCCTTCTCAGTCATCGTCAGTCCTACTCTTCAGTCCTCCTCAGTTCTCCTCCTCCTCCTGGGTCCTCCTCCTCCTCCCCCTCCTGGGTCCTCCTCCTGGGTCTTCCTGATCCTCCCCAGTCCTCTTCCTCCTCCCCTCCTCAGTCCTCCTCCTACTCCTCCTCCTCGTCCTCAGTCCTCCTCATCAGTCCTCAACAGTCCTCCTCCTCCCCAGTCCTCCTCCTCCTCCTGGGGCCTTTTCCTAGGTCCTCCTCCTGGGTCCTCCTCCTCCTGGGTCCTCCTCCTCCTGGGTCCTCCTTCTCCTCCTCAGTCCTTCTCCTCCTCCTCTTCCTCCTCCTCCTCCCTCTCAGTCATCCTACTCAGCCATCCTCCTCAGCCATCCTCCTCAGTCCTCCTCCTTCTCAGTCCTCCTCAGTCCTCCTCCTGAGTCCTCCTCCTCCTCCTGAGTCATCCTCCTCAGTTCTCCTCCTCCTCCTCCTAGGTCCTCCTTCTGGGTCCTCCTCCTCCTCCTCCTGGGTCTTCCTGATCCTCCTCCTCCCTCTCAGTCATCCTCCTCAGTCATCCTCCTCAGTCATCCTCCTCAGCCATCCTCCTCAGCCATCCTCCTCAGTACTCTTCAGTACTCTTCAGTCTTCCTCCTTCTCAGTCCTCCTCAGTCCTCCTCCTGAGTCCTCCTCCTCCTGAGTCATCCTCCTGAGTCCTCCTCCTGGGTCTTCCTGACCCTCCCCAGTCCTCTTCCTCCTCCCCTCCTCAGTCCTCCTCCTACTCCTCCTCCTCGTCCTCAGTCCTCCTCATCAGTCCTCAACAGTCCTCCTCCTCCCCAGTCCTCCTCCTCCTCCTCCTGGGGCCTTTTCCTGGGTCCCTATATAATTTGATATAATAAGTTAAAGCTATTAATAGCTTTAGTGTGATTAATAAGTCGTTTGTTTTGTACAAAATTATAATACATAGAAGTTGCGAAAAATTCTCAAAATGTTTGTCCGCTAATGTCCACCAATGTCCGCTAATGTCCACCAATGTCCGTCCGAGTCCGCCAATGTCCGTCCGGGTCCGCAAATGTCCGTCCGAGTCCGCCAATGTCCGTCCGAGTCCGCCAATGTCCGTCCGTGTCCGCCAATGTCCGTCCGAGTCCGCCAATGTCCGTCTGTGTCCGCCAATGTCCCAAAAAACACGTCCGTTGTCTCATAGAATCCAAAAAGGACAGGACATAGGCGGACATAGACGGACGTGACACCCCCCCCAATATGCCCCAAACAAATACCAGTAACGCAGACATGATACCAAATACAGTGGAAATTTATTCTTTAATCGGATTCCAAATGTTCGTCTTTATCTCATCCCTTTTTGGAAATATCATCATACTGTTTGCAACAATAACTGACGGTGCCTTCAGATTAAACAAACTTATAATCGTGGTGATTCGACACATAGCCGTCAATGACTTAGCCATTTCTTTCGTATGGCTATTACCAGTGACCGTGAATATGATTTCCATGGCCGGGTGGGATTATTGGATTCTAAATCCCTCTTCCCTGGCATCAGTTTTGAGGTATGGCTTTATTCTCTACCATTTTTCTGTGAGTATGTATCTAGTATGCGCATTGGTGACGACTAAATTAATTATTCTAAAATTCCCTCTTCGAATTCAAAGCTGGACGAAGAAAAGTGCGCAGGTTTTGTGTGTGGTAATATGGATGGTGAAACTTTGGATACTGATTACTTTTTTGATTCTGGATGGTGGAAAATCCAAGCTTTTAAAAGAAAAAACCATTTACGATTGCCGAATTAATTATAGTACTATGACATCAGATGAAGAATTCGGCTCTTGGATTTACCTTTTCGAAACAACAGTGAGCACTTTGCTGCCTATCTTCGTGGTAATATTAATCACCATTCCAACTTTGCATGTCTTGTTAAAAGGAAGGGAAGCTTCCAGGAGGGCTGGTGGTGAAGTACGCTGGCAGGGGATTCTTACCGTGATCCTAACAGCTACAATCATGTGCTTGTCTTGTGCGCCATACTTGGTTTTCATTTATGCACAAAAGTATTCTCCGGAGCTGATAACGGACCATTTCGACAGGTTAGCTTGGTATCTTCCGCTGCTCAACATCGTGTCAAACTTTTATATTTACTGCCTTACTGTTGCTAGCTTCAGGCGTTTTCTCCTCTCAAAACTCCGATCTTCAGTAAATTTTCTACAAGATACCACAGAACAAGTGATAGAAGTAGAAACGGGAACCAATCCAACAGGCGCGGCAGCACTCCGATTAACAACTCGATCATTGATTTAATTTTTGTTGACAATTCTCTTTAATTAAAAATAGACTTTTAAAATTAAAGATACATTGATTGCATGTACGTTATTTTATCCAAGGAAATTTCATTACAACTTTTAGTTCAGATAATTTGGTCAATACATTATTTAAGCAATAACTACAATCGAGTTTGACAACAACGATATATTATAACCTAACAATATTACAGTTACTAAAGTTTTGAATAACATTTCGTTTATGAATAGTTTGTGAGTTCAAATAAAATAAATGTGACGAAAATAACGAAAAATTTTTAGTTTTATAAAGCTATTTATTGACTGTTTATTAAAACCTATTTACGCAGACAGTGGTCAGGAATCTGCAATTACCTTGCACAGAAAAAAATCTGTTCGGCATCTTAGGATCATTCCTAACTACAGCAACAAAAGAATTCTAAAACTCACAAATGTATCAGTAACTATTTCTAATGGCCTGTTAGTGTTACATCTGCTAAACTCTACAAAATTAAATCAGGAAGAAGATAAATACGGTTAATAATTTAAGTATTACTATTACTAACACTACACTCTACATGCTACAGTATAAATTAAAGTAAATCGAAGTGTCAACCTTTCAAGGTCGGTCTTTCAACAGTAGCCTGCTACATGATCACCAACTCTTGCTACATAACCTACTTCTAGGTTCATTGCTTCTTGGCGTACTGAAAGTACAAATATTAGAGTCAATATGATGGTTATTTGTTATTATAATCGCTCAATGAAAGCTGGATATGTATTGTTTGATGTTGTGTTTTTTATTTGACTCAGATTGGGCGGCCATCCGAAAGAGATCAAGAAATCAAATTATTAAATGTTTAACTCCTACTTTTAATCACTAAACAATTAATTACAACTAATATTGTACTAACCACTACGTCAAAAGCTTGAGCCAGATCAGCAATTAGGTCCTCTGGTTCCTCGATTCCTACAGACAGGCGAATCTGGGGAAGCGAGTTTCATCATACATGTTTGAAAATTAAAATTAATTTTATGGTTGATGCTTTTAAAATGGCACATCGTTTAGATTATTATATATATATACATATATATTGTCTTCAGTAACGAATAATCGGTTCATTAGACAAAAATACTGGCTGACTAGGAATGCTCACCAAGCTGTCAGAAATACCAAGCTTCGCTCTTTGGTCTGCTGGCACAGAGGCATGGGTCATCACCGATCTGAAATAGCGATCTATGAATTGTTCGAAAAATTGCAATTACCAGTTTAATCTTAAAACCAAGTATAAACACTCAAAATTGCTGTATTATTGATATGTCATGTCACATGTGTGCGCGCAAATCACTCGATCCATCGATCGCGCGTTCAAACGCGCAAACTGAAACGTTGACGATGTCAACCTTTTATTCATCAAATTGTCTATCTTCTTTGCGCGCAACTTATATTAAAGTCATATTTACTTACGGTAATTCAGCCAGGGACTCGTAACCTCCCAAACTTTCTGCTAATGCAAACACCTGTACGTAATTGGTTAGCGACAATTTGCAAGGGAAAATACCGAATTCTTCCCTTAATATCTTTGGGCAAGGGTTTTTATCGATCACAACACTCCGAGAAATTTATCTCACGACAAAACAATCAGGACAAGTAAGTGAAATATAAACAAACCTTGAGGGATTGCAAGAAAGAGTTGCCTCTTCTATTCCACCCAGAATCACGAAGGAGCACATCCCACTGAATCCCTTCATTTGGCGTTTAGCAAGCTCATGCTGAGGATGAGATGGCAGACCAGGGTGTATTACTTTAGAGACATATTTAGCTTTCTCTCCCTTCTCCAGCCAGTTAGCAACCTGCAGTGATCAACACGTTAGCTATCATAATCAACTATAAAATTAGTTAGAAGTTATCAAACTAGTTAGTAACTATCAAATTGATAAGCTGTAACTTGTATCTCTGAAATAACGTTCGGCCTTCTTATTTTCGGAAGTTTCAATTTACAGCGGCTGAAAGGGTCACTTTTATCGATACAAGTAATAATCGTTATATTCGGACACATTGAGTGTTTACATTCGTAAGCAGGATTGAAACTGTACATGGTTGCATGCATTTCACATGCTCCTACAGATGGAATTATTCAACCACGCACACACAGCACGCACACTGAATTGAGACTGAGAAGACAAGAAATTACGAAGCAATTAACTACATTAATAGTATTAATTAAGTGATTATTGAGCAATTACCGCCAAACTGTTGGTCTCATGTTGCCTCATTCTGAGATGGAGAGTACGAGCTCCACGTAGAGCTAGGTAACAGTCAAATGGTGACGGGGCTGGGCCAACAGCTGAAAATAATAACGTTAATATAATTTCTCAGCAAAGATCGCGATCGATAAATAATATTGCAGATTATGAAAACAGCTTATCTTACATCTTAAGCTTAAATTGTATAGAAGAAACAGGAAAAGTTGTATGATATGCTGGTCAGCCTCAATCTACGGCTTCAGCTCTCCTTCCTACAATTGCATCTAATTTTCAATTCGTTTAAGAGTCTATACTCTACTGTACCGCTTATTGCAGCTCTGACTTGCTTACAGTTCTACCCAAACATTCAACCTCCATTCTGTCAACCCCATTTACTAATAACTAATGAATTTGCCATTTTTACTGTTATGCAAGCTCTAAACGAACAGACTTGTGACTATTTTCTTAATTAATTACTAATTAGTTTCAACAACTGATCAGATGTTGAATTACGGCGACTTATGACGATACCCACGGGGCAGAATCTGAAATTAAACACTAGAAATTGAAGCAATGCACATGTTTCTAAGAGTACGAACCGAGCTGAAGGAATCGTAGCCGTTCTGCGAGGTCTTCGTTTTTAGTAGCGATCACTCCCATGCACACATCTGTGTGTCCGTTTATGTACTTTGTTACCTTAGTGAGTTGTTTGGTTAGTGTTTAAGTTTATTTTTAGTGCAAAACCTTAAAACTGATGACGCAATTTAGGATCTCACTTAGAAAAATAATATTTCTATAATTTCTGCTATAAATTCTCCAACTGGTAGCACTGTCACCTTACTTTCTGTGTTGCAATGTTAAAAGGAACATGACGTCATTACACCAAAATGACGTCATCAAAATAAAAATGACGTCATAACTCACCGAACTGAGAGATAAGGTAGCCCCGAGCTCTAGTGGTCGTTGGAAGTAGGGTGAAGCAAATGTGTTATCTGAAACTATGATCGGCATCTGAAAATATAATCACTTTCACAGGCTGTGTCACCCTCCCCCTGCTTCTCAATTAATTAGTACTGGGCAAGCAGTAAATACCATTTCAACTTTACAAACCCTCAACTTTATATAAACATCAGAACTTGAGAGGTAATACGACGCATTCTTAAGGGGCTCTGGCATTGTTTCCGTCTGAGAGCCGAGACGAGCCACCAGCGAGGTGAACTAACTAATTCTGATGATTAGGTTAATGCCTATATTCAGTATGCTGGAGACTGTTACAAATGGAGCGAGCACAAAGTGTCGGAGGGCGCTCAGTTCCTAGCACAGGGCCGGCCAGATCCTGTAGTTTGTCATTGGTGTGCTTGCCGGGGATATTTGTGGAATTTGGTGTTAATGATTGGATGGTTAGATGTAACTTTTAAAGATTACTTTTAAAATTCCGCTTTACTTGAGTTTGAGTGTGCGGGTACTTACTCGTTCGTGAGGCCGGCTGGTTGGTTTTAGTAGTAAATTTTTGAATTTATCTAGCATCGACACTGCAAGATCCTCAAAAAGTTGAGTATGATTTTATGCAGTTTGTTAAAATGTTTTGTCGTCCAAATGTTCAGGGATCGTTTACATAAGCAACATGGAGATAGCCGTACTCCATGAGTTCATATGCAGTTCCAATCTTGTTTTATAATTATTCTATTGCTTTCTGTTCGTCATTTTTGTCACGCTCTTTAAAAGTTTTAGATGATTCATTTTGGATAATCGATTGCAACCACTTTTACTATGAGACCCCTCTATCAGAAGTCTCTTACAACCTCATCCATGCCCCTATGATGGAGTAGATGTGTATATATTTGGTTGTTGATATTTCATATAATACTGGTAGCAGTATATATATATTGTTTGAATAAACTTTTACTAATTATTTTATAATGTTTTGCGGAGGATCGTCATCATTCCCGGATTAATGTCTTTACCAATAAGCTAATTATTTCCAATGTACATTTGATTACTTTACCTCTTTTCCTTCGAATTTGCGTTCCACTATTGCAACAATTGCTTTAATGTCGCAGATCTTGAGCGTTGGGTTGGTAGGCGTTTCCAGCCAGACAAGCTGAAATGACGATATTAGTCAAATTAAAATATAAATGAAGCAGTAAATAACCGGGTAAACCTACTTATATTGTTGAAACAATTGAAATACGGTGTTATCAAGATATTACTCCCTCTTTCAAGGTCAACATTTTCCAAGTATTTAAAGTTTGCCAGTTCCCATGCTAACACATTGCCACTAAAAATTTAACACATGTTACCATAACAATACTCACAGCAGTGTTGTCCTTGATTTTTGTTTCGTAGTGTACCAAGTCGGTGGGGTCCACCATGTCAATCTCAATACCAAAACGAGAGACCACTTTGTTGAAATATCTGTTCGTTCCTGAATTACTTTCGTCAATTTTTTGAGGTTTCTCTTCTTCTTTTAAGGAGAACTTGTTGACTAAACTCGCCAAAGTTTCGATATCGTATTTATTGTTACTTACTAACATTACTTAATCTTGTCCAAGTTTCCGTGCTTATATTTATATAGAGACAGAAAAAACAATCCGCACCCATCATCAGCTCATATTCTTGTTCAGACGCCACGTTCAATTATAATTCCTTACTCTAAGTTTTTTATCAGATATTTAGTTTTCCCTTTTAATCTGTAACTCGGCATACAGATCCAGCCGGATTTGAAATTTGGTAATTTTTGGCAGCTGTACAGTAATTGAGACTCCGATTTTTAAATCAAGACAATTTTAAGATACAGAATTTAGAATTTTCTTGGAAAGAAGGAAATACAAAATTGGAAAGAAGGAAATACAAAATGTTATCAAAGTAGTCAGACTAAAGACACAGGGTTCACCCACCCACAGAGTTTCTCGCATTCTCAAATCTTAGTTCTAACCTGATATCAATCAAAACTAAGGCTCCGTTCTAACCTTGGCCCTTTGCCAAATCCTAATTTATTAACATCAATAAAAGCCTAAAACAAACAGAGGAGCAAAAAATCTACATCAAGAAATACAGGGGCAGTGAGGAATATATGGTACAAAAACATGGCATGATCTACCAGAAAAAACAGAGATACGACTAGATTAGCATAAGTATTTATTTCGCACTGTCCCAGTATTTCTTGCCGTATATATTTTGTTCGCAGCTACAGGGGTCCTACATAGATCAGAAAGTTAATTCTTGCTAACTGATATTTTCTCTGGGGTGTATTCAGTTGCTACTTGATAAGAAACAAGTCTTCCTGTGTTGGAGTCAGTTGAGCCTACGCGAGAAAAAACAGATCTTCTTCTTGAGGTGTAATCATTTGGTGTGTAAGAAGAAATAGTTCTTCTTCTTTGGGTGTAATCAGCTGCTTCGTGAGAAAAAACAGATTTTCTTCCAGGGGTGTACTCACTTACTAAGTGAGTAGAAACGACTGATGAGCGTCCGCCAAACCCACCACCCATGCTCGTAACAGTAGATCTCCTAGTCGCCGGGTTTTGTCCTGAGATGATCATCCGGATTCCTGATAAAGTGAATTCTCGCAAACGGTGCATTCTCCAAAAGTATAGTGCCGGGTTGGTAGCTGAGTTAACGGCTATGAGCAGGGTGAATGAGGTGTTGAAAAAGTATCCGAGAGTATCAAACTTGAACAAGGATCCAAACCAACTCCAACTTTCAGTATACACACAGTAAGATTGCACGATGTAGATGAAGATAAGGGGCACATTACAAACCCCGTAAACCACAGCAAACAGTAAAATAGTGACTGTAGCTTTGTTTCTCGTAGCTCGAACCTCCTTTTGCTCAACTTGCTGGATACTCCTAGATAACAGCACTGCTGACAGAACACTGCTGATGGCCACAACAAATGCTGGGGCCACGTATGTCAGGTCAGCTCCAACTTCCAGGATCAGGAACAAAACTAATGTGTCAGTTTTGTGTAGGGACATGACACAGCGACCTTGGCTAGGGTCGAACCCTATCTGTCCTAGCAGTGAATAGTGATATCCTACGATAAGTACAGTGAGTTGGAGAACCAGATACACCATAACAACAATAAGTAAGCACTTTATCTTCAGTCTCTTAAATGGTCGGAGCAGGGAATGAGTTCTGGTTATGCTCATGCAAAGGACGAGAAAGACACTGAAAACAACAGCTATTTCCCACAAGTACCACCAGAGCATACAGCTGTACTTATTTCCGAAGAGTAAGCCGGCTCGTCTCTTTGTCAAGAATGAAATACCAACAGGAAGCACAAATAAGCTGATGCTAATATCGTTCAATGTTATCATCATGTATATGACAGTTGCAATGTCTTTCTTCTTTGATCGATAGTACAGGAAACTGATTGAGTTTCCTACAGTCCCTATTACGAAGCAAAGACAGCAAATAGACCCGAAGGTTACATCTGCTGTCTCGTTGTAAACTTTTGACTCCGACATGGTATCAAGCTGCGAAAAAGAATTGCTTTTTATCTTAAGGGAACTTTTCTTGGTCACGAGTAATTACATTTTTTTAATGCGGTATAAAGCAGTAGGTTGCGTGCGATCTGTTCCAACATCGGTTTGATGAACGTTTCAGTCAGTAGTAAAATGTAATCAACGAAAGATGAAGCCGAAACTAAAGACTATCGCAGACAGCTAGAATGGATGCTTATTGTCACTAGCTGTCCGACTTTGAGAAGTAAGATAAAAACATTTGATACTGGAAGTTAATATGATTATGAATGAATTATCGCTTATTCGTTGGTACCGAATTCTTTCCCTTCAACTGATACTATTACTAACATAATATACTATCAAACTTTAATTGCTCATAACGTTGAGTTGATCTTTTTCTACTCGGTAAAAAGCAGAAAATAATATGTATCGATAACGTCATTCCAATTTAATTGACATTTTCTCTGCTTTGTCACGACTAGGCGACATACCGGATATTCACATATAATCACAAGCAATTATTTGAATTAAATGACTCCTGGTATTGTTGTTATGGGTTTTGTTTTAAGATTGCAATGACCAAGTCTCTCTGTGTTGGAAGGATGCTCAAACATAAATACATGAAATTAGCTTAATAATTCTAATGAACGAATAATTTTATATAGACAAATCAGTGAATATATTAGTTTAAATAACAGGAAAATTCAGTCAAAGTGTGAATCTGTGTGGAAAACGGCTAAAAGTGCGATTTAGCTCAAAGGCGAGCAGTAAATTAGAAAATGATTGAGCAACAGCGTGGCTATTTATCTTCTAATCGCATTTAGCATTGATCCATTGGTTTTTAAGTACCCTAAGTTTTTTAGAGTACTTGCCCAGTGCCCACTGTATAAGGTGGAAATAGTTATTGTTTACTGTTAAAACGACTAAACGCTTGGCACTCATTATTATATACCAAACCGGTACAAGTACTGTAGTTTGACACGTAGTTTAGTTCGACACGCACTTTAGTTCGACTGGGAACTGACCGGATATCCGGTTGAATCCGGTTCCGACCGGATATTCAATTTTTTTGGAAATTTCCAGCAGCCTCAAATTTCCTCTTCTTAACACCGGTTGCGGTCCGGCAAAATCCCTGTTAAGGGGCAACCAGTCAATGTTCTCAGTGAACATTGAACCCATGGTAGCTTTTAATCTGTCAGCGGATGTTTAAAACACCCATTTATGTGAGATTTCTTTTAAAACACAAAAAAAGGAGTCAAAGCAGGTACCCAGACCATGACAAAGTAATGCTTTTTCATGAGCATTGCAAGCAGAGGGTTCCTGCTTTATTGTGGCAATCAAACCCGTTGCTAACTCCCCTTATACCAAGGATTTAAAAAAAAGGCCACTATGCCATTAGAAAAACTATGGACATTATCCCCGGTTATATCGACGCCACGAACTTGTGAAAGCTAGCCGTTGGGTTTTTGGTTTCATTTTAGAACAATCTCTACATTTGTGCTACGCAAGGCGCTGTGAATTCTTTAAATATACGTTATGATTTTATTCCAATTCGTTTCTAGTAGGTGATAATCGAAATATATTTAGTTCCTCGGATTTACAAATTTTTGGTATCATGGTATAGTTTTAGCCATGATGAGATCAGAACACACTGCCATAATTCTGCCATAATTCTGGGAAAACTTTCATTGTTGGAATATCGTTTTTAAAAACCGCCTTGAATCCAAAAGAGTGTCCGAAAAAACGGCGTTATTTTGCTGAAATTTGGGCTCAGCGTCGGACTGTTTTCAAAAGCTCGTGATAAATTGTATTGAAATGATGCAACTATGGTCTGGTATCTATGTACAAATAACTTTTCCAAACGATAGCATACAATATGGATTGTTAACAAATATCTGTGTATTTGATAAACGTAATAATATAGGACAAGTCAGAAACACGCCTACTCGCATACATTTTGAAATATAACTCGGGCTACAAATTTCGCAAAACAACAAAATTATGTCGCGTTACGCCGATCGATTACCACTTAATTCTAGCTCTGCTCATACAGCAGATCAATCAGTGACAGCTGCTCGCGATTTACAGAATTGACATGTGAACTCTACCCCAGATCTAGCACATTTCTATGTCAATTAAATTCAATCCATGGATCACATCACTAATTATACGTCACTAATTGGTGACGTGATCTGACCCCTCTTTGGGGGCCGGATCAGTTTCCGGTCCCAAAGTCTCCCAGTGCGCACAACATATCAACCGTATTCGGTGTTTTTCACATAATTGATCTTCAGTTGAGATTAATATTATGGCCCGCCGACAGTCCCTAGAGTTGTACTCCCTCGATGTTCATATTAGCCCATATGGTGACGGTTTAATAACAAGTAACAGAAACCCTCTAACATGCGTCACACAAAGGTCACACCAATGTCCGTACCAGTCGGTACTGACTTACTGAGCAGGGATAATAAAATGTTTTATTAAGTTAATGTGGGTTGCAACCCCAAATACCCAACATTTTGTATGAAACTATATCATGTGACCGCTTACAATCGTCAAGATTTTCGACTATAAATATTCCCACTGCATCCTTTTATACTGAATTAATTCGAAGTATGTGCATAAAGATAGGAATACAACTGATACTTTCTCTAATCCAAATTATAAATCAGAAAATTCTAGTAAGCATGGGTTCGACATCAATTGATCCATTCACAAAGCAGGTAAGTGATAATGGAATGAGGTATCCTTATCTGATTGGTAGATTTTTGCTATTTTTCGTTCTCATCAACATCTCGAGAACTTTAAACTTTTTTGTTTGTTTGACCGTTGTCCGTCTTATTGAGTTAATGGCAAGGTGAACCCTGACTTTTAGACACGCGATAGCAATTGGTTAATGGCTGTCACGTGCTATAAGGCTTACCACTAGCATCCAAGTCTTTTTTCCAGATCGTACAACTTACACTCTATTTTTCATGCATTATAATATGTAAGATAAAAACAGGCGTACAAACAAACAAACCTCCATAAACGTCGTCACAGCATAGAATGTGATCTCCGGACTTCAGAAGGTTGATGATAAGACTGGTAGCCGCCAAGCCGCTGCTAGTAGCCATAGCGTGGGTGCCACCCTCCAGTTTTGCTATACATTCCTCAAACGCGGTACGGGTCGGGTTACCTGCTCTAGAGTAGTCGTATTTCTGCAAAAATAATATTTAAGTTGGTCATTTAATTAATCATATCAATAGGGGGCTGCGGTTTTAAAAGTGATTTCAATGTAAGAGCCTTGATTTATTAGCAACTTGACATTGTAACCGAATATGTGGATTAATTTTATTTTGCTATGAAGCAATCATGGGCCATGGCATGCCACGTATCACAAATACGAAAATTGAGAGAAAAGCGAGGCTAGAAAGACAAATTATTAAAAAATCAAATCATTATCAATTTATCTATGTTAATCCAATTTTTGAACAAAACTGACGTACCGGACAAACTCCAGGAGCACTTTGCTTGAAGGTGGTGGAGAGTGAGATCGGAGGGACAATGGGGGCGAAATCCCACTTGTCAGGATCTGAACCGTGATGTGCTGCGTGGGTTCCAAAACCAGGGAAGGGCGAACTGTGCGAGAAATTGCTGGTTTCGTGGCCCGTTTGTACCGTTTGTACCGTTTGTATGGTTTGACATGATGGGAACCTTGAGGTAGACAGGGTGGTAAGATTGGCGGTAAGATATTGGTTAAACTATAACTAAAAGAGACATTTAGATACTATTTATATCAAACATGTTCATATTGAGATTCGAGATATGAATTGAAAAGAATACTGTAAATTAATCCAAGATCACAAGATTGTTGGTGCACCATACAGTATTCAGGTTAACAAATCGACATCAGCTGATTGTTAAAGTCTGGCAAACATCCAGAACTCAAAAACCTACTCACGAGCGAGATATGACGATAAAGAATTAAACCGGGGAGGGAATAACCATAATAAACACTAACAGTAGCAGACAAAGAATAAACTGAACAGGATCACGAGAATCGCTTTAACACGTAGCTCAGAGAAATGAAATCCTCGTTTAGTAATGAAATAACACATCGCATTGCGGCCAGTTCTTTATAACAACAACGTATACTGTGAATAACATCAAAATTCCTGGTGTTCGAACGGGGGAAATTGGCAAGTTTCATAATATTTTATGACAAGAACCCTGATTCTACTCGAATCAGGGATATCATACGTGGAAATTCGCTAAAATACGAAGTACCCACTATAACAGGACGTAAAACCTGAGCACGTACGAACATTGATAGTCAGTCACGTCCTTTGCACGTGCTCCAAAATTATAGCTAGCTGTATTTCACAGATCATTGTACCTTAATAGATACCTTAAATAATCTTAAATAATTTATCTAAATATTGAATATCATACTAAATTACATTACATGCGTTGCGTTGTGACGCAGTTTTCTTAATGAGATTTCGCCCTGCCTACCTAGAGTGATGACGCTGACTGATCATTAAGCGTCTAGTAAAACAGACTTTACCTCCGAGTTACCAACTGAAATAAATCCTGCTTCACACTTGACAGACATCAGAGTCTGATCTACCGAAGACTTGTCTGTGATACTCTACAGTCTACACCAGATCTTAACTCGGACAACTGCAGATCTTAACTCGGACAACTGAATTATTACTAGTTCTAAAAACTGCAAAACGATTATTAAAGCCAACGAAAAATATACAGAAACATAAAACAATCTGATATTACAAACATTTAAGCACGTGTTTTATATCAAGCACCTAAGTCCTCTAACTAAAGCTAAAGGGCATTGCAAGACACTACTCATAACTGCTGACAGAATAGTACACACTGCACTGTACACAAAAAGATATTGCCAGTCTGTCAAACTCACAAATTTCACCAGTAAAACAAGACAGCAACCCTGCAACCCCTCCCACATAGAAAATCATAATGCATCCTAGATTGCAAAGAAACCCCATCACCAGTTGTCAATGTTATCTATGAAACAATATTTGAAACCTCAATATAGTATACTAATAGTATCTCATGAAAATCTTACCGCAGTATACAATTGCAATACATCAGTTACAGGCCACGCGGAAACAATTAATAAACCGGAAATTAAAACATCATAGAGAATTCTTAACCTAAATGTATATTCACTCCGTTTGGTGAGATAACTAACTAACTAAACTACTAAACCTTCCATCAAATTCCCGCGACCCTCATGCAAAATTTGCCGTTCAAACAGACTCAGGTGCAAAGCAAACGGGTGTTATAAACTTATACCAAGTAAAGTTTCCGGCCGAGAGGCGAGGTGCTCCTTCATAAACGGCACTCATGGAGAAGGGTACAATGTATGACTTGTATAGTGAGCTGCAAAACAAACCGTACATCAAGATAATACACGCAGTTAACCACATACAACTATATAGTATATACGCACTATATTACTGCTGTTTACTGACTATAACTACAAACCACGTGTCAACGTAGTACTTATGATATCTGCAGCACGTAGAGACTTATTCCTAACGTACGTATGAAGTTCACATTCACATGTGAAAGACACACATGAGAATTAAATCCTGGATCTGAGACTGAAGGTCTACATGGTTTCTACAACTAACTACCACACCCTATAGAAATCCGGTACAGCTGTGAGCTGTTATAGAAGTGCTCGGATCAGTTTTCAGGCTAAATAACAGGTCCTTCAAACAAAGTCACGAGACCACGTGCTAAAACATCTGATCACGTGATTAAAATCAGAGGTTTTAAAGTCACGTGATCGTGAATTAGACAGGTGTTCAATGACTCTGTTTTATGGACATTGGACAAGTGCAAAGGTAACAAAGCGTGTACGTTACTGTTGATTATTCATGTGAATTGTGAACAGCAGAACCAAGAGACTTAGAACGACCTGTTAATTAGTCTAAATAAGGTGTGATCATCAGGCCAAAAGTATTTGTCAGTACATGAGTGAAGTAGAATTAATGTACATATTATTTGCATAATGCATCCATAATTGATTATGCTTTTATAATTAGGAAGAGTCCCAGCTATTTCTAATCAATTAAGTCGAACATGTGCAAAACGTACATTCATCACCACTCACCATGATATATCTTATTCTTACGTCGTAATTTGTGAACTCGATTCATTATTCCATTAACATATTAATCAAGCTATACCACGGTTATTATATACTATTAGCGCTCTAAAGTCTATTTTAAGTAATTACATTCCAGAAGCTTGATCTATTAATAGAACTCGTCTGGCTTAATGACTACCATTACTCTGTGGGGATCCAACATACTTTTTTCTCCGGGATATCGGTTTTCAACCCGGTACGCACTATTTGCATTTACTGATTACTGCGTTGACATTTTATTTCTAAATTCTTTCAAAAACCGCTGCGTTTAAAATTTGTCAGTCTCTTTTGTTCGGTCGTAATTCTGTAATCGAGACTTTATTTGAGAGATGTTTTTAAAAGCAGTCAGGAAATGCTTTGAGCGTTCCTTCACTCTAAATTTGGGCGCTGACAGTACTGTGGTTTAAGGGTCGGTCACACTAATATGCTTGTCAGATCGCACAACTCACAGAATTTTAAATTCTTGGTTATATTAGATTTAGTATATTAGATTTGCTGTAAAACATCCTATTTTGATATGCAAAATATCCAGACCGTGAACACCATAATCAGATCTATTGATTGATTTGTGGTGTATCTAGCCTGTCATGCTTTCGACTTAAATTCCTTAAGGCATTTAAAGTTAAACCGTTTATGGCATTTTATTTGATACGACTTTAAATCAAGCATCATTTTAAATTCAGAGATCGTGATTTAACCAAATATCAATTTATACAATATTAGAGAATGGTGTTATTTCCCCGCAATCATTCGTCATTCTTTCTGCTCTCACCTTAAATTCTCAAAATTTGAAATCTTTATCAATTTATCAGTGATTTATATGGAGGAACTTTGACAGCTGGAGTGACAGTTTCAATAGCTACAGAGATGATCATTGGTTCGCATACTAAACAACCTTTAATAACGGTATTTCAACCCCCCTTATCTGCTGTGATCCTCGCGATCTTACTATAGATTATCGAGATTAGAAAACTACTAGCTCCTCAATTGGAGGGCAGCTCTTGAAACAAGTAAGATGTAGGTAAGTGATACGTGTGGTCGAAGAGCTGTCAGATGACAAAAGTAATCGATGTCTAATCGGAATCCTTCATGTTTACCCATTTTAAAAAGTCCCATATCAACTTTTGAGGGATCCTTATACCTTACTATGCCCATAGCTCCCATCCCAAACCTCTCCAATATAGAAATATCTAGCTATGGTCCAGTGATTAACCAGGCATTATTCCCGGTTATCGATGTCTACTCCTCAATGTTTGTCCATTTTAAAAAGTACTATCCTTAGGTTTGAGGGATCCTAGGTATGCTGTACGGTGACAACGCCCACCTCCTGGCTACTGTCCTGTCTTAACCTGGCATTAGTCCCGTACAGTAGTCAGTATTCTCGCGGAACTAACACTTACAGTGGTCAGGCAGCTGCTTTTTGTGTATTTTGAAAGTGATAAATTGGTTTACATATGGTAGCTGCTACCATCACTTTTCATCCTTGTCAGCCATTTCGAAGTAGTTTTGTAAAGCTGGTTTTTACCTTTTATTCGTTAGGCCGTTGATATCCTTAACCAATTAATGATGGTATGTTCTCAATTTCATAAATGAACAGTGGCTTTATCCCATCTTGTTTTTAATCAGTGTCTCTATTTTCTGTTTTCAATGATTACAGAGACACTTGGACAGTCTGTACTGACAGTTTTGACGGTTCTGGAGACGGTCATTACCGCTCATAGTTCCGGTTCCGTCAGGCTAATTCAATTTAGAAGTGTAATTACTAGCGTGAGATCAACCAGTGCTAAGCTCCCAGAAATCAAGGAAAACGTGAGGTCAGATCACGTTTTGAGATACTCCTACATTTAATTTATTCGGCCCTGTGGCTTTTAGTACTTAAAGTTAAACACTTAAATGCATTCGCTAGTGCCCTTTTCATCAGAATTTAATTACGTTTTCCTCTATACGCTAACATTAGCCCACCGCTTTACTCTTTAAATACATTAGCTATCTGATCCCACTGTTTTCCAAAATTTTCTGTTCAGTTTTACTCCGATTAATCAGATTCTTTTGTGTCCCAACCGGTCGATCTAATTAGGCCCACGTGGTATAGGCAATGAGATAATTGGACGCTAATCGCCTCATTACGATCTGACAGCAGCTGTCGTATCTCCACCAGCTTACAAATATTTTTCCCGGTACGTTACTACCGTTTCCTCAATATTTCCTACGGCCCGACGCCGTTTAGCCACGCTATGGATGAGCTAGTTTTGTCGAGATTGCCGAATTTAGCGCGGTCGGGGTCCCGGCACAGACAACTAATTACTGGTTACTGAAATCGTTTTGTTTATGAAGGAGCAGTTAAAATGGCTCGGACCATTTAGCTGGAGCCGTGAAAGCTGGTCTGGATTTTGTACTATGCCTACCTATGCTGATTTCTGTAGAATATTAAACTCAATAACGTGTGTTGTGTATTATTTGACTAGAGGACTAGATTTCAACTGGTGCACTGGAATTAAATAATTGCTTTAAG